TGAATTGTTGAAATCAGCAATATCGTCCAACCGACCTCTCCTACAATTATGGACAATCGAAAAGCAAGCAAATAGTAAAATTTCTTCAAGCTCTTATAAATTTGGACTCTGTGGTGGATAACTACATCACTGATAGATAGCTATATGTGTATGTATGTAGATATCAGTAAGAAGTGTGCACTGCAATCTAGCTCTTCACAGGTACCTATGTATATAGTTCAAAAGAAATTGGAATCCCTACAACCCACAAGTTTATTTTGCCTGGTGTAATCCTACGCCAGGATTTACCGACTAGAAGTTTGCCGACCAGGATCAATCTTTGACATTATTGTTGTTGTAGCGTTGTTGTAGGCTCAACTAACGGGAGACCCAGGAAGCGTGCAGCTTCAATGGGGTTTGTCCATAGGGACAGGGCAGCGGCAGTGTATTCACGAGGCAGCATAGCCACGCGAATGCCTTTGAGGGCCACCTCCTTCGCCTGTTCCTGGCCGGAAGTTCCACCCAGGTTTCTGAACCATGATCCCGGAGGGGTGCTTGCTTCCTCAGACGCTTACTTGAAGGCGCCACTGGTTTCTCGATCTGCCTGCTACGTTTCGATGCTGATACTTCACTTGTGTTTGTGCCTCTAGGTTCCCCGCCTCTCCGACAATCGGCGGGCGCGGGTCTTTTGTGCAATGATGGCCCGAGCTTCATCTTCCCCTACTCCAGGTAGCGAAGGTACCACTTGAATCCAGAGCCGCCCAAACCAGCTCGGCGGTGGTCGTCAAACATGCTCGGATGACCCGTTGGGGGTAATTGAGGAGGTCTGCACCTACGCTACTTCTTTATCTGAGTCAGTGACCCCTCGCGGTGCCTGCTACTGGAGTGATGCCTTCTCAGTGACTGACTTCGATTTTAAGCTCGGTGCTGGCTCCTTGAGCGGAGTGGGGTAATTCGTTATCTGCGTAAACGGTTTTACATACATATATATGTACATAAAACCATATCTTCAAATTCAGCTACCAACTCATGACTCCTACCAACGTCAACGCAAACCTAAGCACATATCGTCGTTTAAAGTGCAAAACCGCATATCAACAAAATGTAAAACCGCGTATCAAGATAATGCAAGACCGCGTATGCGAAATCTGTTGGGTTTTGATTTTTACGTAAAAATCGTATAGCAGTGCAAAGTATGCATAACTGGGCTATAAGGATTGAGCCAAGAGCTTGTGTGAGCAAATCCAATTTTTGGCAAAACATGTCAGTCACGCGGTACTTTAAACGACGATATATACATATGTCATTATGCTTTGGTACAAAACGGCAAACAACTAGAGTTAAGTAGTTTAAGGATTAAGTGAAATGAAAAGTGTAATCCCTCTGAAATGTGTACTCAATAAAAATACATTTGCCCGTAGTC